GACCTAGAACGAAGGTAAGAAGCGCGTCAAGTAGGACTAAGGCTGTCACTAGAATGTCTACCTTACTTCTTTCGTTTAGCCAGCATCAATATCACGTCGTGCACCCTTTCCCGAGCTAACTAGTGCAAGACCGTTGAAGAGAGGAGAGCCATTAGCCTTGACCCATGCCGACAGCAAACTGCCAGGATTTTGAAGCCCGTACCCGGCCGGTACGAGGGTCGCTTGGAAGTTGGAATGCAGAAAGACCCCTGGTCAAAGTGGCCACTATGGTCATACTGTTAGCTATACTTTACAGTACATGCATACATACGTACTTACGTGTGTACGTACAGACTAGATACTTAGTTTAGTACTACTAGGTTGCTGCCGATTACATCTACGAGTACTTGCAGGTTTGTTTGTTGTCTGTCGGCGCAGATTAAACTTTGCTCGCCCACAACTGACCGTCGGTGCCTACCTTTTTCATTTTAGCGAGATGAAACAAACATGAATAGGGGAAAGTCAGTCAGTCCTGCCCATGTCCCTTCTTGGAAAGCAGCTACTATGCTCAAAAAATGAAACTTGACTACTGTAGTTAAGGTGCTGCTGGACTACCGGCAACATTATCGATGCGCTCGATACAGCTTTGTTGCCAGCCATGTAAGGGTTATTGGTCGCCAATCGCCATTGCGGTATGGATGCGATGGCAATGCGAGTCATTTTCACCAGAACACCCCAGCCTGCCGCCAACCAAATCGCCTCGCAGGAAACTGCTCGATCCCCACTTATTTTCATGCACCGGACCGGGCGGGTCTGTGGGCGAGTTGTAATTTACACTATACAGTCCTGATTCAGAAGGCAAAGAAACTACTATACTCATCGACCCCAGAAGCTCCGAGCCGCCCGGGAGCAGTCTCCCTTCACTGGGTGGGCTATTCCTCGAATTGTCCCGAGCGCATATCAACAATCAACGCGCTTTGTGAGAGGCTCTAAAAAGGACCGTTTCATGATCCAAATTCCATACCTAAGTCGTGTACATATTGTGGTAGTTCACAACGATTGAGAGTATGCCAATAAAGTGAAGTACTAGAAGCAAAGAGCATGGTGGATGATGAAGGAACTCACTCTTCTTTCCCTCCCTCTCCCGCTTCATCATCGGGTTGTTCAACCCTCTGTGTTGACAACGTTAGTTACGTAGTTAGTTCGTTCTCCGATAAAGTTTTCCTGGGTACCCTAATGGATCCATCCCGGGTGCTTCAGGCATTGAAAATAGCTATCTTTTCTAGTTTCTTCTTTTGATTTAGTTTACTTTATTGATTGCCCTGATCAGGTCACCTTTTTCCGGCCGAATCCACCGGCCAGAGAAATCAGCAAGAAGTTTGTAAGAACAAACCAGGTTAACAAGCGTGGGCGGAACCACCAGGAGTTACTCAGTTTGTGCAAGCGCCGGCTGTGCCTAGGCGGATTACCCGTAGTTACCGGACGTCCACAGATCGGTGGTGGTGGTGTTGATGATTCGTGACTCGTAAGACCGTAATGTAACCACTACAGAGTATGAACCAACTAACCCGACCACAACCATCTACGCGGCTTGTTTCGGCCAGGTTCACAAAGTTCGCAACCTTATCCACTGTACCGTCGAGTTCCACATCTGACCGGACGCCTTTCCCAACTCGAGAATAAACCCAAGGGAAGAAAACCGTTACGCCAAGGGTTAGGTCTCGATGCTGCTACAGCGGGTGAGCCCGTACGAAACCCCACCTGCCACATGGCCAGACAAAAGGGGGGGGAAATAAAAAGTACAAGAAAAAGAAAAACAGAAAGAAAGAAAGGGAAAGAAAGAAAGAAAGACAGAAAGGCAAGACAAGAACTAGCTATTCTTTCCACCCTTCCAGTATTAACATGGGTGATGAAAATTTTAAGAACCTGATTCAGGGCCCGAGAGGGTTAAGGCAGAATAAATGCCTGTGATGCAGTGCATCCATCCAGTACGTAGTTAGTTAGCATCGGCAACGGCTAGCAGTAAAGTGAAGCACAATGTGGTCCAACGCCTCTTTTGCAACGGTCAAGGAACTCTAATCAAAAGAAAGACCAGGGAGGGAGAGAAACCCACTGCTTCTCCATCTGTAATCTCCGAATGCTCTAACCCCATCATCATCATACAGCCGATATGCAGTCTAGACTAGGTGCAGCAGACAAAGGATCATGAACAATGCTTGCCCTCGTACATCATAAAAAGAAAGAGGGTAAACCAGCCGGGAGGCAAGAGAATGGAGGGCCACTGAACGGTTGCCAACTAAGTACAAGGAAGTACCTCGATGGATTATATTATTAGGAGTACTTGTTCCTATGCATGCCCGTTTCTTTATCGGAAGAAGCCTGTGTGTATGTAGTATACAGTTTTCCGGTCGAAAATCAGTCGATTGATACCCCTACGGGATAAATAATAGTCTTTGGGCTAATCACAATGTAATTTCAACCATCCTGATTATTTCTTTTCTATTTACCCTACCTACTACGGCTACTACATTCAGATTGTCGAGTACTGCTAAACTACACTACTTACCACCACCATTATGGCCTTGTAAGAGATTCGATCCACGATTGCCCACCGTTTGGACAATCCAATTTCCCCCCTTCTCCTCTCTACCCCCTCCACCACCCCCCCCCCCTCCCCACCGTCCCCCCTCGCCTCCACCTCGCTCTCGTTAAATTGAGAGGGTCGGAGCTTGCCAAAGACAGTCGTGTCCGTCCAGAAAAATTTTTTCCCTTCTCTGTCGTTCAAGGGCCCAAGAACTTATTTCTATTCCCTGTCTCCTCCAAATTCAGCTTGCGCGCCGCTCATGCTCCGATCCTGCACCACTCACATCCACTTTCGCTATTTTTCTTCTACCTTCTCCCAAGCGTTTCCGAGCCGAACAACTGTCTTGAAGTAGGAGCATTTCTCTCCTCAGTTGCCAATGGCGGTTTCAGCGTCGTCTTCTGAGGTGCGGCAGGCCCTGGAGCGTGGCCGGGACGGTCATACCGATAAGGCAACGAATGATACCCTGGAGGCAGCCATTGCAAGCTTATGGGACAAGATAAACACACAGAAGGATTATGTACTCGATCGCGACGAGTTTGCCCTATTCAACTACTTCATATATCGGTACAAGGGCAACACCGTCGCACAACGGACCGTCGCACGGTTCTGGGATCATTATAAGGGCGACCCAAACGCGGCAGAGAGCAAGACATAAGTGTGTTGCGCATTGTGTTCTCTTTTGACTTTGGTCTCTTACCGGCTGCAACCGTATTCTTACTGAGGATGCATCGCAATCAATTTTCCCCGCCCAATTTAGGGTGGCATGATCGATACATTCAGAATCGGACGCTTTTGGACAAGTGGACCTCGAACAAGCCCAGGTCTCGAACATCCGAATAGGACTTCGAGGGTTATTACTTCACCCACGACCCTCCTGCAATGAGACACCCATGCGTGAAGAAGAACTCGATGGGAAACCAGCCAGATGGCTTCCGTGAGAGCCCTCTATCCGGTGTCGTTGTCCCTTGACCCTCTGAGCGAACATGAAAACGAAGCGAGGGAACGGATGGTGACTTCTCGAAGCCACCCCGGCGGATGCCGAGTTCGCGTTACCCGACATTCACTCACATTTATTGAGCGGATTCTCCAACCAACGTGAGTGCGGGCAAGCCGGTTCTCGGGTATAGCCGGTCTGCCTTGAACCCAAACCGAGCGCCTCCTTCTCTACCTGCATGTATGACCTTGGTCGGGAGACTTGTTTCGGGTGCTCGGATATGCTCTTTCTCACCTCCGGGCGCTCGAAATCCATCGCTCCGTGTTCTCGATCGTCGATTAGAAATCTTCGGGTCTTACTTTCCCTTGTCGCGCGGCCCCGCGGGTTGCGTGGTTTTTTTTCATTATGGTGTGCTGCGCACACTTGGAACATGACATCTATTTATACATTTTTATACGCCTGTTTTGACATAATAATCATGTTCTCTTTTTCCCCTTCCCTTTCCCGATTATCTCAGGATAATCGATGTATCATTCTAATTATGGCTGGTACCGCTCTTGCTGTACTTTATCACGCTGCATACTTGGTGTCATATAAACCAGGCTTATGTTCTGCATATTTCAATATATTCTTGGTCACAGGTAGAGGACACTAAGGACTGATTATCTGAGAAGTCTGTTGTACTTTAGGCCCGATCGTATCATTTTCGAAATCACTGTTCCGTATGGGAAAGCTATATGCACAAATCGCGGAATACATACGAGTGATGCACGGAGGTCCCTCATGTTTCATCTCAAGCGAGACCAAAATTGCTGCAGTATGTACCCATGGTGTCATTATGGAGGCTACAATTTATAAACATGGTACGAATGCATTCCTCCGCCCACATCTTCGCATCGGAAGGCGGGAAAGAAGAAATTCGGTACCAAAAGACCCCTCCCTGCTTCGACGGCTTACGGTTAACATGAATAAGGTAATAGCAACAGAGCCAAGGCCCGCGGTATTCAATTGGCTTGCCAGAGAGCACGTTGTGCCCTCAAAAGACCATTTCTGCAAGCCAGCCCGATTCTCCGACCTTCAAGCAATGGACAAGCTCATCGGCAAAGGGTAAGCAGACGTCACTAGGCTGTAGGTGCGAGCGACATGATGCCAGTGCACGATGTACAGGCGACAATTGATCTGTCCTGAAGTTGGTTGTCTTCTTGCTTCCGTCCATTTTGTCGTGGGGATTGCACCTTGTTGCATCCTCGCCATGAGCAGAGAAAAGGAATATTCGTTACAAATTCCTTTAGATGAACGTTCAACACCTACATGCCATCTACACCATGAAGGAAAACCCACCCTCATATGCTGGTAAGTCTAAACAACACACAAGCCTAGGGCTTGAAATTTTTTTCCAGAAGGGACAATCTAGACGACATTGTCGGATATCCAGATGACATGACGTGCCAATTATACACATCCAATTATTTATACAAAATAGCTCTATGGCGCGTAGCTGCTCTATTTGTTGGCCGGGGAATCAGGTTGGATCAGTTTGTTGGAGTCAGATGAACGGGTGTCCTTGGCAAGCACATCCGCTGGTGGATCTGCAAAGAAAGAACACATTAGCCCCAGTCTCGCCATTACCAGTGTTTTCGGTCACTTACCTGTCCTAGCAAACGCCGCTCGTTGCGCAATATCAACCTGTTTGACCTTGCCAGCTTCAACGTCCGCTCTACTCAAACTGAGGAAGGTCTTGGGGAGTCCCATCGAGGACAAGAAGCGGACACTCTCCTTCCACTCGACGTCCTTCCGGCCACTGTCCCAGTTCAACTCTTCTCCCATCAGATCAATGACACTAGGCAGGGCTTCAAGCGCTGCTTCGGCATTGAGGAATGCTAGGCGGGTTCGGCGTGCGAGAACATCAACAGCAGTTTGCGCGTACTCGTGGCGAACAGCATAACGAACCTCGCCATCGATAAAAGGATAGAGGGTCGAGATGCGCTGGCCTCGAACGGGGAAACGAGCATTAGTCGGCGAAGACAAAGCCGCAACCTGCCAAGCTCGATCACCGTATGATTGTGTTAAATGCTGCGCCACATCCGTTTCGAGCCCATAATGTTGGATGAGGTTAATGAAAAGGGTCTTTGAGTAGCCATGGGCACCAATCAAACGGACCTGATGGGTCTGGCAAGAGCCATCAAGAACAGCGCCGTCAGCGACTAGCCCGCTTCCTCCAACACCGCTAATATCGGGAGCGTTGGATACTTCTCGGGGCTTTAGGCCAAAGACGTTGACGGCCTCATCAACTGCCTCTTCGGCCATTTGCCGATAGGTGGTCCATTTGCCACCGGCACAAGTCAACAACCCAGATGGGGAGACTGAGATGAGATGGTTACGAACCAAAGCCTCGGAACTCTTGACCTTAGGATCGCGTACTAAAGGACGAATGCCGGACCAGGCGGCAAGCACATCACTTCGTTCAACGTTGATGTCAGGGGCCAAGTACCGACGAACTTCCGTGAGGATCCAGTTGATGTCTTTCTCGGAGGGCTCTGGCTGGGTAGTGATTTCAGTGGGTTGATCTGTGGTGCCAGCAATTGTGTTTCCCTGCCAAGGCAGGAAGAAGATAACTCGGCCGTCGGATGTCGACGGATCAATTAGCCCCATGTCTGACGGACTATAGTAACCAGGTAGAATGACATGGACACCCGAGCTCGGCGCCACAATTTCCTTGACATCGGGCTCGTCCATCTTTCTGATTGAGTCAGTAAAAGGCCCGGTCGCATTGATGATACCCTTCGCTTTGATGGTGAACTCCTCCACCTCCTGGCCATTTCTGCCCTGGATTACGTCCTTGAGGCGGGCCCCGGTCAACTTGCCAGATGAGTCCTTGGTCAAGCCGGTAACCTGCATGTGATTGACGACAGTGGCGCCGTACAATGCAGCTGTCATTGCAAGGGAAACGTTCATTCTCGAGTCATTGTGAGCACCATCTACCCACGTAAATCATTAGAGCTTATACTAAGATGCGGAGCGGCTGTTAGCCTCGTGACAGGAGATACATACCGTAGTAGACCATAGCGCCAATCAGGTTATCCTTTCTAAGCATCGGAAAAGCATCGATGGCTTTACTCTTGGTCAGGAAGTAGGAGCTCTCAATACCTTCTGAGCCAGCCAGAAAGTCGTAAAATTTAGTGCCTGCCCAGAAATAGGGTGCTTGCCACCACTTCTGCACCGGAACCATGATCGGAAGCCAGCTGGAAAGATGAGGGGCAGTGTTCAGGAAGTACTTCCGTTCCCGCAAGGCTTCCCTCACGAGCGCGTACCTAAAATAGGGACCTGTCAGATCTCTCATCGGAAGCAGGAAGTATTTTGGGTCGACTGACTGGTTATAATCCAATTCCCATACTGCCTTTTCCAGGTATCGCACACCACCATGTACAAGTTTTGTACTCTTGCTGCTGGTTCCAGAGCTGAAATCATCGCGTTCGACGATGGCGACCTTCAATCCTCGAGTCGCAGCATCAAGAGCAATTCCTGAGCCAGTGGCGCCACCGCCAATAACGAGCAGGTCATATTCCTCTGATGTATCTCCCTTTGCGGAACGCTTGAGATCCTCAATCTGCTCTAATCTAGATTTGATGCGGGGAAAACTAGGCGGCACCAGGCGGCCTTCGTGATAACCCGGGGGCGGGACAGCAGGGGCCTCGGAACCAGGGATATTGCGAGGGCGGTAAGAAATGTAGAGCACTCCAGCACCCGCAGCCGTGGCGAGTGACGTATAGAGCAGCGGTCGCAGGAATTTACGCGAATGACGGGAGGCCATGGTACGTGAAATGAGACACTAGGCACTTGAGATTTAATAGAGGTCCTCGTTGACGCTCTATTATCGAAGCAGTGCTGGATTAAACAGCTGGTTGGGAGGAGAATGGGCGGATGGCTGTTGTAAGATATAAGATATATATAGATAGATGCTATATTATCCAATGGCTCTTTGCCTGTCAGATTCAGGAGATAGAGAGAGAGAAAACGGAGCATGCTGGTAGGGTTCCAACCAAGCAATTGAATCGATGATAACTTACCTAGAATTCGAGAGCAAGATTCGTGAAGGAAGAGGTTTAAGAGACGGAAAGTTGCGAGTCAATTGTGTATGTGGAGGGTACGGGAGAATCTGGGAGAGGAAGGGGAGGGGTTTGGGTGGGGAGGGAAAGGAAGATGAGAGGGATGGGAAGAGGAGAGATAGGATGAAGAGGAGGAAGAGAATGATACAGAAAAATGTTTAAAGAGCAATCCGAATGCCGGGCCACTGGTCCACTTTAGTACTATAGCAATTATGTTGGAGAGGGAGGAATGAAGGATAGGTACGGTACTCCGTACTTGAAAATGTACCCGTGTCAGTGTGAATGATCAGCTCTCAATAACCGGCTAACCTTCCAGTCTGTCCACCTAATCCCTTTTTTTCTCCGCCAGAAAGCAGTAATAGCAGTAGGTTACTAGGTAGGTTGCTAGCAGCAGTGCGTCATGAGCTCTGCCTCTTTTGCGACAGACAGAATCCGGGAAGGGAATTGGAGGGAGAATGGGGGCGGGTCACGATGACGGCGTCGCGGCGTCAATCAGCATTGTCCCACCAATCAATGCCTCGGCAGCTCCGGCAGTGGATGGGTCTGGGCGATGACTTGGCTGTCGAAGCTGGACACGGTGCCCGCATGTGACCAGCAAAGATTTCCCGCTAGTTCGGAACATCTCCAATTTTTTCCCCAATCCGTTCTTCCTTCCCCCCCTTCCCCTTCCCTCGTCCAAGCTTCCCTCAATAGATAGACATTAGACTATCTCTGATTTCTCTGAAGGACTCCCTTCTCCGGGAGGGGCCCAGCCCGGTCCAAAGCATTGCCGACCAGGACTATGGAAAATTATTGATTAATTAGTCTAGTCTCTCAATAAATTTACATGTAGTACGCAGTACGGAGTAATAAGTTTAGTACTAGGTATGTATGTCTGATGAGTAGGTAGTCTTACTGCTAAGCCCCCTATCGATAGGGATTTATTTATAGCGAGGCTCTTCCCATCGGGCAGGGCTATAAGATGTATGATTTTCCCCGACCAACTACTCACAAGTGAGTACATATATTTACGGAGTACTACTACTATGTGCATACTTCCTGAGTATAGTACTCCGACTATCATCGTTATGGCTACTATTTATCATGCACCAGATCGCCACCATGCTTGTTATACGCTATCTATCTATTGCTACGGTGTCCCTTCCGTCCGCTTTCTGGACTTAGCTACCAAAAAAAAATAAAATAAAAACGAGCACCCCAGTTCTCAGTCGAAAGATTCAAAGACTCTTGGTGCGTTTAATCTGATACTCTGGTTGATGATGTCTCTCTGCTCCACTTGTCCAGCCCAGACCCTGGAAGGTGGGTAAAGGTACAGTACTCCGTATTGTTGGGGCCTGCAGGGTAGACAGAACGGAATGGCGTAATACCCCACTCTCAAGTGAACGGTCGGTTCCTGGGTCGCTGGTGTTTGACTTTTGACGTCAGTCTCTCCTCCACAATCTTGCTTGAATGCTGTTCTTTCTTTTGAAGATGAATTGCGGCCAACCATTAAGAACAACTCACCTTTTTCGATGAACCCCCTGCTACCCAATCGGTTAGTCACCTCGGAAATGTTACTTGGAGGTATTTCAGCCCTACCTACTTACCTAGACCTCCTGCACAGCCGATTTCAGTAACCAGTAAGTTCGCTACCTGCCGAACTGGAAGGACGATATCTTCATGTCCAGACTGTTAAGACACCGCAAGCCACCCAAATAGGATCTCTGAGGCTTGGGCCGTAAAGGTATTCAGCCTTGTACCTGGCGCCGAGTCCAACCAATCTGTGGAAATCCTCCAATCGGCAGCCTTCCTAATACAGAGATGATATACTATAAATACCAGTACCTAGTAGGTAGGAATATTCTACGTATAAGTATTCGACCAGGGGTACAAGCTTCGTCAAGAGCAAAGCCCTCGGTAGCCCAGAACTTTATAGTTACTGTGCGTACTGAAATCTTGTTACCAAATTAATGACCATCTGTAACTCGCGCGGCAAGGTTCCGAATCTTGAGGTCCGGCTACGGCCAGCCTAGATGTGTATTCGCATTCTCAGTCAGGTGGACTTGTATCTGTGACAATGATGGATAGGGGATTGGGTGCTTTTTCATCTGAAGAATGCAATTATGCTGGCTCATCATGCACATGTTATGGACATCGGGAGTCGTTCTACTCATAATATCATGGAATAACACTCATTCATTCGGAATCGTATGCCGATCAGCCGGGCGAACTACACCTCCCCCATCTCGTTACCTCCATCCACTACGCGTGCTATGTGTCACTCGTCTGCCTTGGCCAAATTCTGTGGCAGACTGGCAGCTGCCGATACTGCAAGAAAGTCCCAGCCCCGCAAAATGAAGTGATGTGCACTGGGGATGGGCGGAAAATTTCCGAGTGCGGAATCTGGGCCATCCCATTGTTTGTTCCCCTTGGTCTCACAAGCCTCTCCAGGACCAAGCCCCTTCCTACTAGGCTGATCTACCCCGGCTTTTCTCGGTCTGGGGTGAATCTTTCATAGCCTCTGGAACAGGGATTTGGCATTGGTTTCTTTGCAGGCAAGCCTGTACAACGGAAACGTTCCTCGCAAGAAGAAGAGTACGGGACTGCAGGAAGTATCACGTGGGAATACCATCATTGCACAACTATGTTATAATAGATCCCAAATCCATCAGCTGAGTTGAATCTTCATCCCTTCAACCATTCCGACAGTGAGAATCGATTACATTCATCTTCGGTCGTCATGGCTATTGCAGCAGCCCTTTTATCTCTTCTGGACAGCATTATCCAGTCGCCTTTGCGGGCGCTGACAGTGTTGATCCTCACGATCCCTATCATCTATATCATCCTGAACGAGCTCACTCGAGCATCTGCAAGATTGCCTGGGCTCAAAGGTCCCCGTGGCTTACCACTTATCGGAAATCTCGCTCAGATCCGGAAGAACGCCGCAGAGCAATATCGCATCTGGTCTAGAACATATGGACCAGTCTATCAGATTCAGCTGGGAAATACTCCCGTGGTTGTTGTAAACTCAGCCGCGGCTGCGAAAACTATTTTTGGACAAAATGCACAGGCCTTGAGCTCAAGACCAGAGTTCTATACCTTCCACAAGGTGGGTCCGTCTGCTTCCCCTTCTCTAGCCCTCCCCGGCTTTCGGTAGCTCTCCTGCACTGGACAGGCTTAACATGTTAGTATAGATCGTCTCGGATACAGCAGGCACAACTATCGGCACTTCTCCTTATAGCGAGTCATTGAAAAGACGCCGCAAAGGTGCAGCCTCGGCGCTAAATCGTCCTTCTGTGGAATCCTACGTCTCTCACTTGGACGTGGAATCCAAAGCCTTCATTGAAGAGCTCAACCGTTATGGAAACAGTGGGAACACACCAGTAGATCCCATGGCGATGATTCAACGATTGAGTCTGAGTCTATCCTTGACCCTTAACTGGGGAGTGCGCGTGGCATCCCAGGAGGAAGACTTGTTCGATGAAATCACTCATGTTGAGGAGGAAATCAGCAAGTTCAGGAGCACGACGGGTAACTTACAGGACTATATCCCTCTTCTGCGGTTGAATCCTTTCAGTGGGAACTCTAGAAAGGCCAAGGAAATGAGAGATCGCCGAGACAGATATCTCAACTCATTGAACCGGGACCTGGATGAGCGAATGAGGAAAGGCATACACAATTCTTGTATACAGGCGAATGTCATCCTTGATAAGGAAGCAAAGCTCGATGCAGATGAGCTCATCTCAATCAGCTTGACGATGCTATCAGGGGGTCTCGATACTATAACCACGTTGGTGGCATGGAGTCTTTGCCTCCTTTCGCAACGACCGGATATCCAGGACAAGGCCGCGAAAGCCATCCAGGAACTGTATGATCAGGACACGCCGCTTTGTGATTCTAAAGACGATCAGCAATGCGCTTATGTCGCTGCTCTTGTGAGGGAATGCCTAAGGTAATTTACAGGACATTTCTGGCCTCGACATACACACTCCTGACTATTATTTTTGCATGCAGATACTTCACCGTCCTCCGGCTTGCACTTCCTCGAACATCCATCCGGGACATAACTTATAAGAGAACAGTCATTCCAAAGGGCACCGTCTTCTTCTTGAACTCCTGGGCTTGCAACATGGGTCAGTGGCTGCGCATAACTAAATTTGCCCTGTGGCAGAGGCTAATTACATGGAACTTCAATTAGACCCCGAAGTCTGGAAAGACCCCGAAAACTTTCGACCCGAGCGGTGGTTGGAGCAACCAGATGCCCCAATGTTCACATACGGTATGGGCTACCGTATGTGTGCGGGCTCTCTCCTTGCGAATCGGGAGCTATATCTGGTTTTCATGCGCACCTTGAATAGCTTCAGAATCGAGCCGGTTGACGATGTCGACTGGCATCCTGTGAGAGGAAACTCGGACCCCACTAGCCTTGTGGCGATACCCAAAAGGTACAGGGTTAGATTTGTGCCGAAAAACAGGGCAGCACTTGCAGCATCGTTGGCTCGTTGATCGAGACCATGCCTGGTGGCTCGCATTTGATCGACTCGAGTCTTCTCAGAAATACATTACCCGGCATGGAATTCTGATTGCCATCCAATGCTCTATAGCATGCGCCCAATAAAAGACGGCTGTCTTTCCCGTCCTAATGAACCTTGCATTATCCTGTGTGTGCATATTTAGGCATTCATGTGCAGTCCCTAGGCAAATCGAGCCCGAGTATGATGAAAAG